CAATACTTATGATCATTTCATTCTGTGGAGGCTCCGACAGTGAATGCATTACTTTGCACTTAAATAAATTGTGACTATAACAGAACCAAAAGCTGTGAAGACGTCAACGAGTGCTCGAGTAATAGGGGTGGCTGCGAGCAAATCTGTAAGAACAGTCCGGGTTCGTACCGATGCGCCTGCAGAGATGGTTACAAGCTGAGGCAGAAGACCAGGTGTTTGGACATTGACGAGTGCGCAGAAGGTGCTCACCAATGCCAACACAACTGCACTAATAGCGACGGAAGGTATTCTTTGTTTCCTCTTTTCTTCTAAAATCTCATCGCGTCCCGTTACGTGTCCAAGTCTGCGATGTAAACTGAGCCTACTTAGTTTGTATTAGGAAAAAAATAGGAATTCCTTCAGAACATGCCTTTTAAGGATGGGAAACCGTAGCACTCGATCGATACAAAACTAAAACAGTGATTCACGGATAGTTGCAATGTAGTGATATTCATATCCGCCCTAAGTTATAGTTTCTAACTGTTTTTTCCTCCTGTTCTTCGTTTTCCTTTTTCTTTGCTTTAGATTCCCTTTTTTTTTTTTTTTTAACATTTTAACCATTTTAATTCAATCACTCTTTATAGCTATACTTGCTCCTGTAAGAAGGGATACTTTCTTTCCAATAATGGCCACTCCTGCAGTAGAAAGAGGAATCCACAAGGTAAGAGGGAAAGATTGTTTTTCACAAAATCCCTGCAAAATCAAGTATAACCTCAGTTGCAGAGGTACATTGTAGGCGTCGGGCAACATTAGAAATTATCTATACCTGTCTTCTTTTAAAGAGTGCGGCGTTGCACCCCTTGTTGGCAGTTCATTGCCTGGGAGATGGCACTCAGAGGACCAGGCAACTTGGCCTTGGGCAGCTCTGCTCCACTTCAGCGTCTTTGGTGACATCGAAGGCTGTATGGCTACTCTCATAGATAAAGAATGGCTGATCACCTCAGCTCATTGCCTGTACCTAGGACATAAAGTTATTCCTACAAAGTTTGTTAAGGTGGAACTTGGGGCGTTCTCCCGTGGTTCTTCGAGTCATGATCCGGTTTTGCACGATGTGTCACACATCGTCATCCACAAAGACTTTAACGCAGATCGAAAGGTACTCGCTGGAAACATCGCTCTGGTGCGCTTGACAAAACCGATTAATGTTACCGATGAGATAAGGCCCATCTGCATACCGACCAGGATGGAAGTGGAAAAACTCCTGAAACCTGGAGCCTCAAGCGATGGTGTGGTAATCGGTTGGGGTAAGACTCCTGAGCACCGAGTCCGCAACACACTTCACCAGGCAGCAGTCATGGTTTCGCACAGATCACAATGCGAGCGATGGGCCAACAACATTGCTTTCGATGAAAACACCATGATCTGTGCAGGTTTTAAGGAGGTCGAGAAGACCGCTTGTGTCGGTGATAGCGGGTCCCCACTCATGTTCTCTGTTACTACCCGTGATCAGAGTTCAACGAAATGGGTGCTGGGTGGTGTGATGAGCTGGGGGCTTAATGTGCTTCCAAAAGGCTGCCACAAGGATTATCGCTACACAGCATACACAAGCGTGGAGCGCAATTTAAAGTGGATCAAGTTCAGGGGGAATCGTGGGAATACGAAATAAACGATAATCCATTTACCATAATATCAAATAATCACATAGCATATGTTTTGTTTCCGCTGAGTAACATTAGTAAGCCGCTTACGCTAAGATTTAAATTGAACACCTGTCACGGAAATGAAGCCAGAAATGAGGATATTGCAGGTGTGAACTACCTTCCCGTGTGAACGAAGGGTAAGGCTAGGTATCTTTGAACAGTATCTGTTAATCTTTGGTGTACAAACAGCCTGCTTGGAGTCGCAGCCTTTGCAGTTTGTCGCACTTATTTTGTTTTGTATATTGTTAAACTTACATAGGGCCATAACTTTACTTCTGATTATCGTTCTCTGAAAAGTGAAAATCAATAGAGGAAATTATCTTTGGATTTTCTTGTTTGGCCTTTTTGGTTTTTTTAATGGGCTGGGTATTACAGACTAAAAGTAACATTAAGGAGAACATACGAAAAACCGTCAGCAAGGCGTTTTGTCAGAGTAGCCTTCTTAAAATGTTAATTAAAGCTTAAGTCAGTCTTGAATGTATGTGTGATGGCAACGAACAGGGGATGGTTTCACGTGCATCAAGGACACAAAACGAAAGAAAACAGACTAAAAAAAAAAAAGGTAGCAACACCATCGAAACAAAATTGCGCGTAAGTAACACAGTCAGCAAGTTTATGATAGATCCTACAAGCAAAAGAGTAACCGTGACTCCCTATAAGACACATGATAGAGCTTGACATTAACCGCCTTAAAAATTAGGCCTTGCAACTGCACTTTGTAAGATACGATGGTATCCAAAATCTTTAATTAGGTCACAGAGTCAAAATGGGTAAGGTGTCATGCAACTTAAAAAGTATAGAGTTACAGCAGGCGATAAAGTCTACCGTCAGCTTCAAGTCAGATGTTTCCTTGTACATAGACTCTGTCACTAACTACAAGCCTCATCATCTATGCCTTGGTCTCTTTGCAGCCAATTTATTCTGTCTCCGTAAAGCATCCTTCCGTTTTTTCTTGTAGTCTTGAGTGAGATCTGATCTCATTGTTACCCAGTGTTCGCTGACTTCTTCCTGGCTCACTCTTCTCACAAAAAGAGCTTCTTTATCTGAAAAGCAAATCAACGTTACATTCTTCATATCATTAGAACGCAAAGGTTGCAGCAATAGGTTTTGATAACCAGTATCGTGCTACAGTAAACGTCCTCTAAATTTCTAACTGGTTCTTAGGTGAACTTTGACTAGAATGATAACTCCCCACCCTTTCCCCGTGATGTGTATTGTTAGTACATGTATATCTCACCATCGATGCGATTTGCCAAGATAGGATCATCTGGGTGAAAAAAGAACAGCTCATCAGGCGCCAATGAGATTTTACTGAGCGCAATACCATCTGAACCAACAGAATCATTCAATTCCGCGTTATCACCACTACCGTAGTCGTTGTCTTTATCATCGTTGTCGTCATCGTCGTCATCATCACTACTGTCATAAGGAAGCTTAGGTGTGGCCTGCCAGGGATTTGATTCTAGCATTTCAACTGCACCCTCGTGTGTGAGGTCTTCAGGAGTTGAATCAACGTCATCATCTTGTTCTCGTGCAAGAAATGTGAAAGATGTTCCCTGTACGTAAAGTAATATATGACCGGAAGTTAAACTTCGTCATGATTGGGTGAACATCAACCTATCAATTTCACTGAGAAGAACTTTTGTTGGGTAAATGAGGAACGTCAGCCATGTGTAAAAGTCTGTGGCTTAAATGACTAAATATTACCTTGAACCTTCGATAGGCAACAAACAAATTGACCGATTGCAAATGATATGGCAATATTTTGGGATGGCATGCCAATTTTATCCTCTGAAACCCTTCCTTTAATTCTCTCTCCCTTTGCTCCTCTCTCGCAGGGTGCGGCGGAGTACAAGATGTGCTGTTGCTCTTTATGGATTATTTGAAACTTCGTTTTTTAACATTCCCTTAAAAACGACCATGGGTGTGTTTTAAGAAAACCCATTTTTGACTACCATTTTCAGTACTCAAGAGGAACGAGGGTTTTGATATGTTGGTTTGCAACATAACGCGCGACCTAAGTGCTGGGGTTTTAGGGGTTACGGATAATCCTGCGTGTACGTGGCATCATCCATTTATCACTGCATTCTAAAAGGCAGTCAGAACCAAGCTAATGAAATGATAAAAAACGAAAACAAAAACAAAAAATTAAACAACAACAACTAAACTAAAACAACAACAACAAAACTAAAACAACAACAACAAAAAAGATCCCACTCAGCGATTTGACAAAATGGCAGCCACAAAACGACAAGCCTGTACTTGACAAAACCTGGACAACCTTCATAGGCCTAAACCTCATGCAGATTACAAATCATTGCTGTGGCAGCTTAGATTAGATCGCAAACGATTTATTGCGGCCCTCTCACAGCCCACCTTACCTCCTTTCCATTGAAGAGATTCGTCAGCAGAGAGGCATTGGCCTCGTAATACTTTTCATGAGATACATCGGGTAATTCTGCCTCCTCTGATTGTTTTTCTTTAGCTCCACTAGGTTTTACGGCCGGTTTTTCTCTCTCCTCTTCAACAATCTTTTCAAACTGTTTGTGATCTTCTCGAGTTGGGTCGTAATGCAGTAAGGCAGTGCTCCTGCGGACAATACATCGTACATAGATAAGCTTTTTTTTCCCCTTTTCTAGTTTGTTTTTAATAGTATTGTGATTTTTTCGACCAAAAGTCACCAAGGACTTTTTTATCAGTGGCTTCTGCATCATGAACTGCAAAAACGTTTGTTCGTAATCCTAAAATTTCACAGGCATATTCTTTCGTAGAGTGTTCAAAACTAAAAAAACAATAAATGAATTTTCCAAATTCAATGCTTCCCCTTTGCATTTGTGAGAACCGAAACTGTGGCTATTCATAGTGGCTTATCGAACATTCATCCATTTCCTACTAACCTGAATTCTGGTACTTTTTCCTCAGTGCTGTGACCACTGTAACCTGCCTTGAAATTCACCCCCAAAATATTTCCGAGAACTTTAAAAGCCATTTTCTTTTCTTCCTGAATACTTTTGCTTATATCGTCCTCGTTTTCCTTGGGGATGGCCCCTTCATAACCTTGAGACAGTGTCTTTCGTGCATCCCTTTTAGCAGTGATCTCAGAGCGATAACCACCATCATGATCGTCGTCGTCTTCTTCGCTCTCCAGAAAACGTGAATCAAGATCAAATCTTTTATCTCCTCCGTAAGTCCTTTGTAATTTGAAAAGCTAGGAAGTACAATTTAACAACACTGATATTAATTTTATAAAATCTAAGGATGCCACACGTACGCAGAGGCCATTGGCGGCGTCACCCTATTGACAAAACGAACTTAACTAATGTTAATATAAACAAAACTGGCAGGCCTTAACCCGCTAAACTCTAAGAGTGACTAACATATGATGTTTTCCTACAATATCACCCCTGAATCACACATCAATTCATGTCATGAGAATAGGAGAAATGATAACCAACGAAAGAAGCTTTTGATCGGTAAACAAATTCTCTTTGTCAGTACCTTATGAAATGTAGAAAGAACAGTATGGAGAATATACATAAAAGTACTGGATTAGTAACTATTTTCTCCTAACATTATCACCCTTAAAAAAATAATAATAAGATCATGAGAATTAAGGAAATGATCACCAACTAAAGAAGCTCTTGATTGTCAAACAAATTCTCTTTGTCAGTACAATAGAAAATGTATAGAGAACAGTATGGAGAAAATATATACTGATGTTAGGGTGAAAAAGCTTCATGATATCGCAGTTGAATAAAACAAAAGGAGAGTTAACCGACAACATTGTAATGCGCTCGGCAGATTGTACATCAGTTGGAGCTATTCTATTTCATGAGTGAACCGACAGCCAAATGCGGCTATTAGTGGAAAACAGAAACGAGCACAATTATATTTAAAAAAATTACCTCTTCGCCAGACTTTCCCTCAAAGTGGGGTTTAACAAGCTGATGATTTCCTTCTACGCTAAGATGACCTGCGAGATCATTATCATCTTCGCTGTCACTATCGAGTCCAAGCCACGAACTGGCCTTAGAACCTGAGATCTAATATACATGTACAAATACCACGGTTGGAAACAAATCAATAAAGATTCAATAATACTCCATAAACAATAACATCTCATAAGCTGACGCCGAAATAATCAAGCCTTAAATGTATCTCTGGCACCGTTTATAGATTTGCACTGATAATATACAGCTGCGCGACTACCCCTGAAATCGTCTCCAGTTTTTTGTCGCGATTGCGTATCCAAGAAATCATCAAAAGTTAATCTAAAAACATACTTTCAAAAAAGCTTGTCCTAATCATCAATAAATCAAAGAATATCCGTTTTAACGAAGTGCAATCTTTAGTGCGGAAACAACCCTGGGGGGAGAAACGTGGAGCCTGAACATATTTGTGCCGTCCATGAGTGTAACAGATAGAAACAATACAGGGCATTTTTCAAACCAGAGACAAAATTTGTCCTCTAAATGATGGTGTATCCTCAGTGGAAGTTTAACGCTCGAAACGTCAGCTTCTAAACTCTTTACAGTGGCCAATTTGATAACACTTACATAACACTATATATACTCTCCCACCAACGCAGCACCTCAGTTTATTTAAAGAATTACCCCCTTTCCTGGAAAAAAACCCTGGGAAAGGCAAATGGTGCCTTAATTAGCTTGTACTTTTGTGTGTACTCATGCGCACTTACCTGTGCTTATGTTGGCCCAAAGAAACATGTACATGTCACTCAGTAATCACTTACCTTGTCTCCCATAGAGTAAGCAGCTTTCTTAACTTCCTTGTCATCTGTTTCATTCTCATCGCTATCAGAAAACACAATGTGGTTTCCTCCAACATGGCTTTGTGGACCGCTGTCTAAGCCCTTCAGTGCATCATTGATCACGTTTTTCTGAGCTTGTGCAGTCTTTTTTCGCTCAAGTAAGGCATCTAGTCGCTTTTCATTTGAGTTTGTACGTTTTTGAGGACTGTCTGTTACCACTGGTTTCGTAGATCTCCTTGGGGTTCCTTTTGAATCACAATTGCCAGAGTTATGACTAATCGACCTCGATTTTGAATTAATACTCAAAGAATTTAGATATTTACTGGTGGGGCTAACACTTTCAGCGTCAGTTGATTCAGTACCTGCTGTGTAATCAGAGCTATCAAAGGATCTCATTTCACCAGCTTCTGCCCCGGTCCCATCAGGTGCATGTTTTTCTTCTCTTTCAACCTCTGATGAACATGTCCCATTATGTATTGAGGAATGTCGATTGCTATCGAGAATTCTATTCTTTCTTTCTGTTTTTTTAGAAAAAAAACCTTCCTTTCCACTTAATTGTGAAAGCATCTTTTGCTCCAGCTGGGGAACAGACCGTAAGCTTTCTTCAGAGTGACCGTTTTCGACAAACTTGCTTCCTTCCAAAGTATCATCAGTTACCTTTTTCGATGACTTTGTTTTGACACTTTTCCAAGTCATGTTTCCTTCTGAA